AAAAAAAAAAAAAAAGATTTTTCCATGTTTACGAAGTGGCAGAAATAATACTGCTACAATGGCCATACTTCAATCTGCCAAGTGATCTACAAATTCAGTACATTCCCCATCAAACTACCAATGTCACTCTTCACAGAACTAAATAAAAGAAAATCTTGGAATTCATATGGAAACACAAAAGAGCCAGAATAACTAAAACAATCTCAAGCAACAGGAGCAAATTTAGAGGCATCAGAATACCTGACTGCAGGTACTGGGGGAAGAAAAGAGTGACTAATGTATGTTCTATGCATATGAAAACCTGCCCCAAAATGAAACTCATCAACAAACCAAGGATATAACTCAGTGGCAGAGCTCATTGGTTCAACTCCCAGTATAACTACATTAATTAATTTTAAAATACCTGTATCAGCAATATACCTGTATTTCCTTGTGTGTGCTAGGAACTTGGCCATACAAGGTGCCCCAAAACTATTTGTTGAACTACTGGATGTAAAAAAATAAATTGCACCAAGGGTATAATAAAAGGACTTTCAAAAAGAAAAGAAGAAAAAGGATTTGCACTTAAAATATAATTAGAAATTAATACAACATCGTCAGAATATTCTCTGTACTTAGGGTTAGGTATATCCTCAGTAGTAGAGTCCACCTAACAGGCACTGAGGCCCTGGGTTAATCCTCAGCACTTAAAAAAGAAGTGGGAGGAGGAGGTGGATTTTTTGGTACGTAAGTCACAGAGAAATCTTTTTCCTTGGAATATGACCTAACTGAGTAGCAAATTATAACCTGACTAGAACTATGAGGTGAAGTTATCAGACTGGAATTGGTTGCAAAGATCACAATATTTTGCACAAGAAAAAAATTCATAAATTCTAGAGAGGGTTAATAAATTAAGGCCTAGCTTTTAAATTGTTACTCATGCTTGGCTTTCCCCTCATTTTGGCTTGGTCTCTTTTCAGTTCCACAATGTAGCAGGAAGAACAATTTCCTCAGATAAGATCAGCTTCCAGAGAGCGTTTTTAAGTCACTCCACCTCTTTGTGTCTTACTTTCCTCAACTGAAAGGTGAGATTTGGAAATGGTCACTAAGGCCCCTTCCAGCTCCAAAGTCCTGGGCGCCCACGTGTTTCTCGGGTTTCCCCTGAAGGCTCTTTCTATTAGCTGTCAATTGTTTCTAGTTTCTGACATGCTTCAATTAATAATCCCAGTTCCTCCAAAGACTTGTTTCTGCCTCTTCCATCTTTCTTTCTTGTCACTCTGACTCACTTTCCTTTCTAACTGCCATTTAGTTTCCTGCCTTTCTCACTGTCTTCTCCCCTCTTCCTACTGTATCTGTCTGGTCTTCTTTCTAATGACCAACCTGAGGATCTGCAGGACTTTTAACAAATTGCCTTTATAATAGCTCCCTTAACTTACACACACACACACACATACACACACACACACACACACACACTTTCCCACCCCCACCCTAGTCTTCCCCACAGGCCATCAGGTACTTAGCCCTTCCCCCACAACCTCCCTTTCCTGTTCCACTGCCTCGGCCTCTGTATAAACTCCTGCTTCTCCAGTACATAACATGAGCAGTGGCTCTCCCTGTCTATGAGCAATGAGAATGGAGAAATGAAGAAAGACAAAAGGAATAGGTCTACCCTTCTTCTCAGAAGTGTTTGAATTCCTGCCATCCTTAACAGAATGAACTCTGAAAGGAAACACCGGACAAGAATTAGTCTGAAAGAGCCTCCTTGATCTTCACTCCCGCCCTCGCCCTCGTCCCCAAAACACCATGGCAACTGCCACCTGGGGGAGATTGGGCAGAGATCATCTCCTAGAGCAAGTGAGCAGGGATCACTTGCCAAGGCTTTCCTTTTTAGTAAACTTTTGCAAAGGGCCCTTGCCCCGCACTTTTTGTTGCTGTATTTCCTTAATGCTGGCAAGACAAATAACATGAGACAATATATGTAATTTTAAGAACTGTTACTGCTGTGCACATCTACTTGCTAGTGTTCTGATTTTCTTTGGAATTTGCAGTGTTAAGCCATCCTCCAGTGAGACCCTTAAGAGTCAGAAATCAGCAGGACGGCAATAAAGACTCATGTTGTAGAACACCAGGCTGTCTACGCAAGCATTTTTTAGGGAAGTTTTGACCTTGCCACTTACCAACTATGATACTTTGAGCAAGAAAGCCATTTGGGGCCATGGAGATAGCTCAGTGGCATAAGCGCCTGCCTGACAAGCATACAGTCTTAAGTTCGATCCCTGGTACCAAAAAAAAAAAAAAAAAAAAGGCCATTTTGTTTCTCTATGCCTGTTTTCTTACTTGTAAACTGGGGTGTCTGGA